GAATGCTGCACGCGCCGCTTTTGGCGTTTGCACCTGGAACTTTGCCTGTTCTGGAAAAGCGGGCAAATGAACTGAATTATAGACTTCGTCCCTGTTGACGGCGGAGTTTACTTCACGCGACCCCGACATTTCCTAGCGAGGGTTCCCTGAGGACTTTGCTGGGCGCGCTGCTCCTCGGCTTTCTCTGCAGTTCCTGGTCTGGCCCAGAGCTCGGCCCCTCTTCTGCCTGTTCAAAAAGAGTGGTCGTCCTAGGAATTGCTGGGGTCGTTTAGTTTTGGAGAGAGCCCGGGATGGAAGAGGCGAGGAGAAAAGAAATGTGAACAGGAAAACTCAGCTCTAGTGTTTAAGGAAGATGGAAAAAGCGAGAGCACTGTACCCCAGAGCAACTCAACTACAGCGTTGCTACTCTGGAGATGGCCAGATCCAGTAGGAGACAGTGAAACATTTTCCTAAAATGTATCTTCCTGATCGCGCGCTGGCTCCCGATGGATGTGAACGGATTCTACTTTCACATTCCCTTGCAAATCATGCCATTCTATTACTTTTTATACAACATTTTACTGTGGCACGTTACTTCAGGGGTAAAATTATTCCCTGTTGACGAAAAACAAATGGGAATATTGGTGTCTCCAAAGTCTCACCTGTAAGCAAGACACAAGGCTGCGTATCCTTTGTGTATTTTATACAATTTCACAGAGGAGAAAGTGACAAATTCTTCCTCTACTTCCAACTACGAACACTACAGTTTTAACAAAAGGGAACATACATATATATCACAGAAAGTTAGTGCTTTAATATTTTTACACTTATTCAGACTCGTAAAAAAATTATTCTCCTTGACTCTGTCAAATAGAAATCCATATTTTGTAAAAATAATTTTTATGTAGTTACTAGACCCCTGCTCACTATCACTCCTACTTATTGCCACCGTTTGTTAAATTTAGATGAACAGTGGAAATGTATTGAAGATTCTACTTTGAATAATGCACCTTAAATAATCATAAAAGCACCTTTTGTAAGCCACACACTTATTCAAAACAAATGGTATTTTTGCTAATTTTCACCTAATTCTTCTTATTCCAGCCATAAGAAATTTTCATCCACAAACGCATGAATTGATGGGAGAAAATATTCCCTGCCCTTTCACTAAAAAATGTCTTACCAATACAATTCTACTTTACATATGTAACAACTTCCTTATCAAAATTAGCTATTAATATTTTTACTGAATGCTCTTACTAAACGTGAAGGTAATTCAAGTCAGAAAAAGAAAAAACACTTAAACACAGATTTATAGTCACTGGAAATAACTGAAATTTAGATTCCAGTTAATGTAAATAAATACTTTCCGTTGCATAGTGGCATGATTGGGTAATTGAGCATAAAAATACATAGTATTAGGATAAAATTCTGTGGCAGAAACGGAATAAGAATATGTTTTGAGAGAAAACATATTCTCGAAATTTTTTCAACTGTAAAAGCTCAGTAAGAAGGGCTTTTCGACGGAGGATGAGGGGCGGGGGGAAGAGGAAGGGAAGGGGGAGAGGAGGGAGACGGGGAGGAGAGCTGTAAGGCCCAAACTGAGATCTGAGGAACGTGTAGAGAATGAAGACAGGTGAAGTGAGGGCAGAGGTGGGGACGAGAGTGTTGCCGGTGAAGAATGAGAAGATTAGGGAGCTTGGGGAGAATAGAAAAAATTTTATCTTGACTGGAAGGCAATGCGAGTACTGAGGAAGGATGACAATTAAGGCTGGAGACACGAGCAGGTTAAAAGATTATCAAAGTGTGAAAGGCTCCCAGGAGGAAGGAGGAAAGAACTGGTTCTGTGTGAAAATTCTCTTAAAATGACTGCACTTTGAAGAATGGTACTGTACAGAAAGATGAAAAGGTAAGACTTTGCCAAAAGCAAGACTTTTAAAGAGAATTCATAAACATTTTCTTAACGGGGGACGAGGTGGCTGAGTGGTTAAAGTGATGAACTATTAATCCATTGTGGTCTGCACGCATGGGTTCGAATTCCATTCTCGTCGACTTTTCCAGGGTTGGGGACTGTGCCGTTTGCTCTTTTATCTTCTATCTTGACAAAAGAATTGAGCATTGCACACATCCTTCCCAGATACTCGAGTGTTCTTGCTTGGCTGGCTGAGTGCAATTGCTCTCTACTCTTAGAGCGTTGATTTACTGCTTATCTCATCACATCTCACACATGGAAGTGATGTGGCCTCGACCTCTTGGGGACCCATAGGAAAGGTGTCTTGAAGGCGTAAACCCTCCCTTCCATCACATGGTGGCACAAGTTGCAGAGCCAAAGGACCCAGAGTTTTGGTCAGAACCTGGCTATTCCCTCCTCTGAACAATTCAGAGGGTAAGCAGGCAAAATAAGTGGAAGAGTGTTGGTTTAGTGGACGTCCAAATAAGAACACCTTCAAAGCAACAAGTAAAGGAAGAGAACAGGTCCCTCTATCCCCATCTTCAGCTTATTTCGATTTTTCCATTTGATTTTTTAAAATTCTCATTATTTAGGGTGCTTCCTGTTTGGAGGAATTTATACTTCCTTGTCATGATGTAAGGACTCATTAAAGAGTACTTTCACTAAAAAGTTTTCCTCAGAAAACGGAAATTTTTTTTTTTCCTAAGACTTCCATGTGTGTGTGTTTTCCCCCCTGAGCTTGACAGTTAGATAGTGATGCACAGATGTTTTTATTTTAACACATTCATTTCATTTTCTCCTGCCATTTCCCATTTAACTCCTTTGCTTCTGTTTTTCCCACAGAGTGCACACGAATGGCGTCTTCATGGTAATTGCAACATGTATTGCTTTCAAAAAGGATTCACAGAACTTTCGCATTAACTTGATCTAAATTTGATAAATCATGCGTAGGAGCGAAAAAAGAGGCGACAAAGGGTAGGAGGCTCGAGCCCAAGTAAAAATGCAACATAGTCATCGGGCAGAAATCAAGAAAAAATGTTTTTCTTTCGAGTGTAAAGAAAATATAAAACCCTAACTGGAGTGAAGTGTGTATTTTATTTTCTGGAAGAAATGATACTGGTCCATTGGAAATGAACGGTAAATTTTTAAACTATTCTCGAGTGAGAAGGGCTAGAGATTCGCCTCTCTTTTGAAATGAGTGAGGAGGGTGGATTATGTTCCCCACCCCCGTCCCCCACCCCCAACTGGCAAAAGAAAAAAGAAGAAAAGAAAAGGAAAGGAAAGGAAAAGGAGGGGAAAGGAAAACGCTAACTGGTTTACAGTGGTTAGGTAGGGGGTGGCAATGGATTCTAGAGGTGGTCGAAGAAGAAGGTGCATGCGTAAGTTGACGAAATTTCTTCTCGCTATGTTGTGCCTGCGATCCAGGAGAAAAGAACTGGGCGTTAGAAGAAGGAAGCTTAGCAGAGGATGGTTTCGATCCATCGACCTCTGGGTTATGGGCCCAGCACGCTCCCGCTGCGCCACTCTGCTGACAGGCCGTCGCCCTGAGCGACTTTTTTCCCACTATGAACATCATGCGCTATGTCATGTGTCCTTGTATATACAGATAAATTTTGGTTTGTTTATAAAATCGAAAGAATAAACTTCCCAGCAATAAGAGGAACAAAGTTCTGTGACTTATTGCACGTGTAAGGACTCAGATCACTCTCAGAAATATCATGCTGGACCCCCAAAATGCCTCACAATAGGATATGCTATATGATTCCACTTCTATGAAGTTCAAGAGCAGGCAAACTGCCTGGGGCTAGAAATCAGACAGCGATTAGCTTGCAGGATGCAATCTTGGCTGGTAAGGGGGCATAAGGCGATTTTCTGGACTAATGGGAATGTTCTCAGTCTCCATCTGGGTGGTGGTCACATGGGAGTAGGATACATCGGTAAAGTTTATCAGCTCAAACTACACATAAACTCTTTTCATTTAAAAATATACTTCAGTGAAGGATTGGGAAAAGGGTACCACAGAGAAGTAGTAACCTAATGGAAAGGAGAGACGGGGGTGTGTGTGGGGAGACAGAGAGAAAGGGTACTAGAGGCAGCAAGGGAAGGAAGGACGGAGCGGGGTCATTCCGGTGGACTCAGGTGCTGGGCGGGCCCCACTGATTCATCCAATCTCAGCCTCTGAGGCTGTGCTAAGTGGCAGTCATCGCCAGGCCACCAAGAGGACGACCGGAATTCACCCACGCACGGTGAGGCACTGACGGAGCACGTAGGTGTTCCGATGCCCCGCGGGCGACAGCAGGGCGGCGATAAGGAAAGAGAGCCCGGATCCCACGCCCTCCAAGGCTCCCACCCCCTCATCAGAAAACTCCCACCTTCAGCCTGCCAGCCGGACAGAGATCCGAATGCCCGTTTCGGCGGCATCGGCCCCTCAGCACTCCTGGACTCAACACTGCTCTCACACAAGAGCCCTCCTCTCCCGCAGACAGCCCTGGCCCAAACCCCACCCCCACCCCACCCCCGCTCCCCAACACACACACACACATCACACTCACACACCAGAGGAGACCATCTGACGGGCGCTGAGGCCTGTAGCCCGAGCCCTCCAGACAGGTTGGCCCAGCTGCAGCCTGGAGCCCCAGTGCAATACCTGTGCACACTGCTTGCCACACGCAACATGAGGCCCCACGTTTCCCAGGAAGGCAATGCCAACTGCCCTGAGACAGGCCGCTGCACTAAGCAGCCCGCCCGCCTCTGCTCACTCGGAGCCTGCAACCCGCAGCACACACCGAAGAGGCCTCAGCTTTCCCCCTTCGTCTTCCAAAGGGCAGAAAGTCCTGTTTCCAGTTAAGAAGAAATCTCAAGGATCAGATACACCCTCCTGCTTGAAAGAAGCAAAACCTGACAAAATAGACGAAACAGTTTTCAAGACACCAAACATCAGGCAAAGAAGGATGGTACTCCCTGACAGAAAGACAGGAATGAGCGATTTTTCTGGGAATGAAGTGAGATCTAGGATTGCAGCCTTGAGAGAGTTTCCAGGCCCCAGTGCGTGGAACAGGAACCCAGGCGGAGGCTGGTGAACTCCCTGAGTTGAAGTGACGGGGCGGATAGTCCAGGAGACCAAGGCAGCTAAAGCTGGCAGGACAGAGTACCGGAAAGGAGAGAGCCGCGAGAAGAGAAACCTCCAGAAAGCACTCCACGTGGAGCTTAGCACTGGTCAGCGCACGCAGGTAGGGAAACTGTACAAGTCTGGGGAAGGACTTCCCACAAAGATCAGAGAAGTTACCATAATACTGAACTGTCCTTTCAAGTCAGAAGCAACGGTATGAGATGCACGTCTGTCTAAGGAATCCAGATTCGATTCCTGTCCTTAAGAAAAGAAAAGGAAAAAAAAAAAGAAAAGAAAAGAAAAGAAAGAAAAGAAAAGTCTGTGTTTTGTGTTTCTTGCTCAAAGTGTTCAAAGAGCTGCTGACATGGAGGGAAGGGGAAGTATCCTGACCCAGTCCACCTGGCGTGGTCCTTCCTCACGGGGCAATCTCGGCTGTCAGTTCCTCTGAAAGAGTCGTCAGAGACGTGGAAAGAACGACCTTTGAAGAACGCCTACTTACTTTGTATCTCTTGAGGATTTGAGAAAGGACGTTGATTGCGCAACTACTTTGGAAAGAGAATTGAAAAGCGAATCAGCTGGTAACAAAAGGTTGCCAGTAATCTTTTCCACTTTTTCCCGCCCATTTTTCGTGTTAGGGCGAGCTCCCACCCTTGTGTCCTCTGGCCCCGCACGTCTCTCTGTCCTCAGCCACTGGTCCCGGAGGAAAGAGAACACTGCCTGCTGGGAAGAATGTTGAAGTTGTAGTAGGCCGAGTAGCCGAACTGTTGGGTAAGGAGTGGATAAAAGGTACGCGAGGGATGGTGGCCTTAGAACATGTTATCATAGAGAGGACTCTACCCTCTTCGCGGGTGTGTGTAGGTTAAGAAGCACCTTTACCTCCCAAGGGAGGTGGGGAGCTGACGGTGCCGGCGGAGGGGACCGAAAGGAGTGGCCAGTACGGGGATCGAACCCGCGACCTTGGCGTTATTAGCACCACGCTCTAACCAACTGAGCTAACCGGCCCGCGAGCACGAAGCCCTTATTCTCCTCTTTCGTTGCTTTTGCGCCCTCTCCCCTTCCCCGCCCCCACCCCCCAACCTCTTTAAAAGGTTAAGTTCCAAGTGTAGCTTCTCTCAGGAGAATTTGGTGGTGGTTGTTGCTTTCCGCCCAAAATAAACAGAATGAGACGCCGTCTCCTGAAAGAAAACCAAACGGAAAGAAGGCACACTGGTTTTCAGTCGTACTCCTGGACGTGAAAGAGGAAGCCGACGTTTCTGGAGGAAGCTGCGGCCAACGGCCGGGGGGAATCCATGGAAGTATGTGCTGGTGTGTAAATGGCTGGCAGTCAGCCCCTGAACTAGGAGTGAGTGCAGGCTCTGTCATACAAGATGGAATATGGTGCCTGAAGGATATCCCGACGGGTCCGATTGTCGATGCTCGCGGAGTCCCCCAGGTTTCCGGGTGAGACTTGGTCGGCGTTCGGGAGCCGCCTCACCTACCTGGTTTACTCGGAAGGTTCCTGAGAGGTTCAGGAGGATGCTTCAAAAAGCAAACTCCGGAGAGGTGAGATGTTTCCGCCCGGTTTCGCACCGGGTGCCTTTCGCGTGTAAGACGGAAGTGATAACCACTACACCACGGAAACTACGCTTCCCCCTACTTGTGCTTATTACCCCCCCCAACCCCCCACCCCCCCCCCCCCAAGCCTCTGCCTCTGCTCCACCCCCCATCCCCCATGCCCCCGCCGGTGTGTCTAAGAGAGAAGAGACTTTCTGGCTAGCCCAGGTTCGGCCACGTTGAATTGCTTCTCTCTTCCAGGAAATGATCGGGGTTACTGCGCTTTTGTATTAAAACCAATAATACTAAAGTCAAGGAGTCACACCAGGCAAATACTACCCTTAAGCGAAGGATTCCTTTCCAAAGGCAGGACGGACATTTTAGGCAGCGTCCGGGTACAGCAGATTTCTGGAAATTGCTCGATTTTGTCCTATGTGGGTTACGTGACCTTAGGAAGTTCTGTGATCACCATCTCTTAGGTGCCAGAACGTGATCGCAGAAAAGTCACCGGGATTCGGTGCCCTTGAACTCTGGCAGCTGCCCATTCTGTGCAGGGGCAGTGTTTGACCGACAGAAACCGAGGGACGGAGAGGGGGAAGTGCCCACTGGTCTGCCAGGCCGTCCTTTCTTGTCCCCTCTGACCTCAATTCTGTGCCAACTGAGCACTACTCAACCAGAGTCAGACTAAAACTGCTGTTGTTGATAACATCGTTAATGTAGTAAAATTGCTGTTACAGATATCATCACTAACGTCCAAAGTCAGTTTGTTTCTGCAGGGCAAGTTGAGCTAAGAGATCCCCGAGCCGTGGACCACCTGGCCAGAGAACGGTAAACCGGAAACATCCTGACTCCTGAAGCAATGATTCCGAAATGTCAGAAGTCGGTGGTCAATGGCAGCTTCTTTGTTGTTCCCCTTTAAAAACAGCCGTATCTCAAAGACGAAGGCGGAGTGGACGTGAGACTTGTCTCGCCGTCCCTTGCTCGGCGCCGTGCAACCCAAGGCTTCCTTTTGGGCAAAGGTTTGGCTTTCTGTGTAGAGGGCACAGCAGATCTTTGGTGGGTTACACACGGAGCAGCTAGGTGTCCGAGGACCGTGAAAAGTAAACGTTTGTCTTTGCCCGAAGAGGTACTGCGGGAAATGGTAGTTAAAAGTTTTAAGTGAAAAGGCGCGTAGTGTCGCGGCCGGTTAGCTCAGTTGGTTAGAGCGTGGAGCTGATAACGCTAAGGTCGCGGGCTCGATCCCCGTACGGGCCACGGGTCGCTTTTACTCCTTATCACCCAAGGTGGTTACACGTCTCCGAGACGCGGAAGGCACAGGTTACTTAAAGAAAAAAAAGAAAAAGAAAATCAACACGTCACTCACGTTACCCCCCCTTGCGCCCCCGTATTTTGGAACTGTCGAAGCAGCGCTCTTCTGGAAGTCGCGGTGCTGGGAAGCAAGCTGCGTCCTGGAATCTTGAGTGCGTGGTGGTCAGGACCAGCTCCTATATCCGGTCCGCACAAGCCCGGCCTTTCTGGATTTACCATTGCCTCAGTCAAAGCCTCTTGTCTCTCTATTCGGAAGGGGTTGAGGGGTAACCCAGTGAGGCTAATATTGGTGAAGACACTCGTAGATCCACACTGATTCTTTCTTCTTGTTCTTCCTCCTCCTCTTCTTTTTTCTTAAAGCCTCTTTGATTTGAATCTGTGAATAGGTGTCTCTGTGTGATCCTTTCTCCATATTTGCCGTGTGAGATTGAACCTTTCTCCATATTTGCGGTATGAGATTGAAACCAGAAAACGGTAGATTGTGAACGTTCCTGTGATGGCCTTTGAAGGGTCCTTCCGAGTGGCGCAAGAGGCGGGATCGATTGCCCTGTGCGGCAACAAGAAGGAAGGTGAGGGAGCTTTTCCCAGCACGTCATTGCGATTCGAGAAAGTTTGAAGAATTGGTCGGCGTATGTCAATTGCAAGGCGATCGGGTGTCAAAAGGGTTCCGAGCCAGCCAGGAGTCGAACCTAGACTCTTCTGATCCGTAGTCAGACGCGTTATCCATTGCGCCACTGGCCCCCGCGCGAAACCGGGCCTTAGGCATGCCTATTTAATGAAATGAAACCTCCGAAGTCGTTGGTTCCGGAATGAGGATAGAAATAAGCGCAAAACCGTTGACTCCGACAGATTCATGGAATTCGCGGTGAGTGTATATAATACAACGTTGTTTTCAATTTCTATATTTAAAATCATAAGAATTGTAACCCTTAGAACATTCCATACGTGATAGCAAGAATGTCATTCCCTGAAAGCAAGTTTTCGCCTGCGAGTGCTCTTTGCAAATTTTTGCAATCAATCTGTTAATCTGCCATGCTTCCACCCGCGTCATATATTCTGATGTACTTCTATTGGACCCTGATGATGTGTGCGCGGATGACTAATGACTGCCCTGTATTCTCTTTAATTAAGCGTTATAAAATAGTGCACATTTATTTGGTTTGGAAGTGCGTTCGGCTGTAAGAATCACATCTTTTCCTCTTACTGTTAAAAGAGTAAGCCTCGCTAAGAGGGAGAATCATGGGCAGATTCTGTGATAAACCATGCATCGGATAAAAGCATGCAAAAGTCAACGGTAAAGGCAAAAAGAGGCAACAATTCATTCATTCAGTAAAGGTACACACATTCCAGAAATCAAATTTGACATAGAATGTGGGAATTTAGGAACTGATTTAATACCACATACATTTCAAACAGACAGACATGCTCTTTTTAGACAATTGGGTTGTATGTTTATTTTAGTTTTCAAATTGGGCAAAAGAGATGCCTCAAAATGTACAACTGCCTCGAGAGAAGGACCTTGGATGTTGAGAGAGAGACACGGTATGGCAATGTTCTTGACGGCACAAACTTGGAGTCCAGAGTGCAACGCGTTCTCATCCCAGCTTTGCCATCTTTCACCTAACTGGCTTTTGCAATAAAAGAGAGGTGTACAGTGCTAACAGAAATGTGAAGATTTACTTAGAAAGTTTTGTCTGAAGAAGTAATGGTGGAGGTCAAGTTTCAAGGTTGAGGAGATGTCCACTAGGTATAGAGAAGTATTGGGGGTAGAACGAATGATATGTGCACCCATCCCTGGGAAACAAGAGGGACTGCTGGCAGGTAGGACAAAGGGCTGCTGGTTGGGAGAGAGGGGGCAGTGAGGTACAAAACGAAGCTGAAGACATAGGAGTGGCCACGGAGAGGATTTCAGGCCATCATCTTCAGGGCCACGTAATAAAACAGCCATCAGATGTTTAGGTGATAGGCAACTCTTTTAGAAGCACTGCTTTCTGTCTGTCATACTTTTGTCCTCTCAAAGTTCACAGAATCTGAGATCTAGTCTGACCTAATCTAAGCAAAAGCCAGCTGAAGTTCCCCCAAACATTTGAGAAAACTCCCAGGCATTCAGATCATGTGACTCCCCTTAGTCCACGAGGGACAAGCCAGGGTCCCTGTAGAGAGGATGTACTACTGGCGCTGGCGTCCCAGGAAGGGAGGCGTTTAATCTTCATCTTTAAAACAGACATTTTTACTTCTGGTAATGGTAGAAGTTAAATGGTTAAAGCAGATGTAACGGTATGTTTTGTTTTGTTTTGTTTTGTTTTTTAATGGTTAAAGCAGATGTAAAAGGTATGTTTAAAAGGTCGCAAAACAGGCTGCTCTAGTCAGGGTTAAGTTTTAGTTAAGTCATATGTAAGCCATAATGACTTCCCCACACCTCAATATGTGAACATTTCTCCCATAACCATCAAGTAGAAAGACTGTATGCGGTACTTCATGTGTTTTTGTAAATAAAAAAAATCGGTGCCTAAAACTCACACACCACCAGCTCAATATACTATATCAGAACATTTCCCCCTGTCCTTCCTCTCTTCTGAGAAATCCCTCACACAGCCCGGCAAATCCAGAGTGCGCTGTTCATGGTCCTGACTGCGGGAAGAGGCGGGCTTCCTGGTGGCAACGCGGACCATCTCCGCCCGCCGGGCACGCACCTTGAGTTGAGCGGGATGCCGAGCCCCTGAAGTGTCCGAGAAGAGCCCCTGCCGGCCTCGATACCCTGCCTGCGAGGGCCCCCGCGCCCCATTCCGCGTACGTCTGTCCCACAGACTTGTCTCTAAACACACACGCCGGTAAACCCACCCTAACCCCTTTCCGAGCCCGGCCGGGACTGTTCTGTGCCTAAAGGCAACTGCCTTTTGAATCCACGTAAGCGACAGGTCTCTGCGCCCAAAGGACAACTCGTGGCAGCGAGCGGCCACCCCTCCCAGGCAAGCCTAGGTGGCTGAGGCGAGTCGGCCTACGGATCCCGGCGCGCAGCCTGCGCTTCCGGAGAAGGGGCGGCTTGGCCTTGACCGCGTTGTGGAAACACCTGAGCAGAGAGATCCGGATCAAGGCGGACTGCAGACCGAGTCCCCGAGGATATTGACGGGGGTACGAACGCGGACCCCGGGAACTAGGAGAAAAAGGAAAGGACAGTGAGGTTAAGCAACGGCCTCTGCCGGACACAAGATCTCCGTGTACTTTCTGGGGACGGGAAACGTTTCTGATTCATTTCCTCCACCCCCTCCTCCATTGCTTTCCACCTTCTCCACACACAAATTTTATATTGAAGGTTTTTTGAAAATATTTCTGGAAAGGAAAAAAAGAAACTGCCAGAGATGGAAGACATCTGGAAACATCACCTTTTGTTTTTCGTTTGTTTGATTTACATCCTTGTTTGTCTGATGGCATTCATTCACTTATTCATTTCTAATTGCGGTAAGCGTACCTCAGCAGCTTCCTGGCCATTTGCTTGCATTTCAAATCATTTGCCTATACAGTGAAAGTGAAAGCAGTAAAGTCTGTTGAAGAAAATTTAGCAAAATACTCCATGCCTTTGAGATGAGCAACTATATGTCAGACAGGACATAATAAGCACTAAGCATACAAGAAAGATTGCTACACTGTACCACCACCACCACCACCACCCCCCCAAAAAAACAACAACAAAAACTGAACACGTTTTTCCTCAAAAGTCCATTCGGAGAGAAAAACACTAGGCACAGACTGGCAGGACATACTCATAATTCGCACATTGTA